AGAGGATTAAAAAAAAAGGGAGAGAATGTGATCAGGCGGGAGACTAGAACAAACCCATACACTAGAGATTTAGGGTATATTTTGGTCTGTTAGAAGAAACTGTATCCCAAAATTTTAGAGAGAGAACAACTTATATATATATATATACCAAAATAAGGTTAACTACTATGAAGGGATAGAATATGACTCTAAAAATGAAAAATAAAGATTTTTTAAAAAAGGGAGTGATAAGATGTTGGTTGAAAAAGGGAAAAAGAAAAATTCAAAAAAAAAGAAAAGAAAAAAAGAAAATTAAAAAAATTAACTTTGAAAGACTAAAGAATCATGGGGAAAAAGCCATGAATTCTATGTGCAGTATTCCCCTGGCGCTGGAGTTCTGCTGTTCTCATTGATTGGTAAACTTGGTCTTGGCTGGCTGTTCTTGCTGATCATCTGGCGGAGGGACCTTTTGCCGTGGTTCCCAAATGTCTTTGCTGGAGGCGGAATTGCCCCGCCCTTGCTGGTCCGGGCTAAGTAATCTGCTCGGGTTTGCTCTCGGGAGCTTTTGTTCCCTGCAAGCTTTCCGTAGAGCTTTGGAGGACAAGAGTGAAAATGGTGGCCTCCCAATCTCCGCCCGGAGGAGCTGAGAACTCAGGGCCCCACTCCTCAGTGCACCCCCAGAGAAAAGCAGTCGGTCACTCCCGTCTCTCCGGTCTCCGGCTGCACTCCATGCTCACCTGGCCTGTGACCAAGCATTTCTATCTCTGGCACCCGACCCCGTGTGGAGTCTCCAAACCCAGCAGATCCCTGTGGTTCACTCCCACGCCGCTCCTCCCAGAGGAGGAAGGGGAGTTTCCCCAGATCTGTCGCTTGTTGTTCCCTGCTGGAGGAGCAGTGGCCCGACTGTGCCGCGGGTCACGGTCTATGGCAACCCCGACCTGAGAGCCCACTCCTCGGCTCTGTCTCTGCAGCCGGCTCCCCCGCTCCGATCCCTGGGAGCTCTGCTGCACTCAGGCAGCCCTGGTCTTTCTGTGACCCCGAGGGTCCTGAGACCACACTGTCCCATGAGGGTTCCACCCCCCCCCCCTTAGCCACTGGAGCAACGTCCCTCAGCGGAGCAGACTTCTAAAAGTTCTGATTTTGTGCTCCACGGCTCTAGCACTTGCCGGTAGCTGCTGACGGAGGCCCCCTCCCCCGCCGTCTATCCTCCCGAATATCGCCTCAGATTCATTTCTCTGCACGTCCTACCTTCCAGAAAGTGGTCGCTTTTCTGTTCAGAGAGTTGCTGCTATTCTTTTGTTCGATCTCCTGTTGAGTTCGTAGGTGTTCAGAATGGTTTGATCCCTATCCAGCTGAATTCCTGGGACCAGACAAAATCTAGGTCTCCTACTCCTTCACCATCTTGCTCCTCAAGGATAAAATTTTTCTTTTCTTTTCCTTTGATAATACTCCTCATTTAACATTCCTTCATAATTAAATCCATTTTTTTTTTTACTTTATCTCTGGTTCTCTGAGGCTCAGCCAACATCTTCCCTTGACCACTCTCGCCTCCACAAACAGACGTCTTTGGCGTCAGCTAATTTCACTACATTGTGGGAATTCTTAATCACAGCTTTGCCCATGAGAAATAAAGAATCGCCTTCCTCACCAAGTGAAATATATTTTCTCGACTATCTTTTCAATGCTTCCCCATCCCTACACTAGACAATCTACCTCGATTTGTGATTTTTAGAGTAGTTCTCTTCCTTACTGCAAAATAGTATCCTTCTAGAAACTATGCTTTAATCTTCTTGCTGAATCTTAAGCACCTGAGCATAGCTAAATGAAAGGAATGAAAATTGACCTCAAAACACCTAGAACTAATAAACCAGACCCGTCTCATTACTGTACTCTTGCCATCTGTTGCCTGCCTAGCCCTGAAGACCTCTACCCACATTGAATTGGCCACCAATCTACATTTCCATTATTAAGCAGATCTTATATACCATGTTGGGTATTTTCCATTTTTCCCTTCAGATCTACTCTCTTCTCTTTTCTATCCTCCTCAGTGGACTGTCCTTCATTGACTGTAGAACAGTGAGAAACAAGAGTATTGCCATGAAATTTCAAATTTCCAATAGTTGAAATTTTCAAGTAAAAGGGAAATACTTCTTGTAATTCATTTTGCTTTTATTTATTCTATGTCACCATTATTGGCCTGCTGTTAAACTAATTAAAGTATCGTAAACAAATCTCGTTTAAAATGTAGGCTTACACGGGCATCCCGGGTCCCTAGAAATTCTTCACAAACTCAAGTTAAAGCAAATTTAAACGGCTACAACATGCTAGCTGTAACAAACAGCCTATAATCACTTTGATGGTACAGCATGAGGTGTAATCACTTCCTTTGAGAGCTATCCCAACAACCAATGATGGAGATGTCACAAATCACACTTCCCACGTATTCAGAGCTACTGCCATTTTGCACATTTTATTACACTCTAAAAATAGGAAAACTAACTCTCCTCCTTGCAATGTATTCCTTCTATGCATTTTGAAAACAATGTATTAGGAAAGAAGAAATAAAGAGCCAAAGGCTTTCAGTCACTACATTTCATTGCAAGGATGGTGCCCTTTATTCAGGCAACATGTGGAGCCCTTCCTGTCTGCCAAGGACTAGGTCATTTGCTGGCCTTGCAAAAGCAGTGAACAAGGAAATGTTTCTGCTCTCATGAAGCTTACAGAAGACTGGGAAGACAAATGTTAAATAAAGCAATTATAATGTGAATGATGATATAAGGGTATATAGGGTACTGTGGGAGAATAATCATGGGATCTTAACCTAGTTTATTAGTCGTAACTATGATGATGATATAACTCACCATTCAAGCTGAATACTTTTCAGAGTGAAAGGTGGTGCCAATAACAAATATGCTGGGACAATAAGAACTATCCAGGAAATCTAGGATGTAGGTCAACCTGGTCATACCTGATATTCAGCTTTTCTCACCCATAGAATAAATTCATGTAATATTTTAAGTCTTGAGCCTAACACAATACTCTGTACACTACAGAATCTCAGCTGTATACATGTAAATGGAACATTTTAAAATTATAAACTTCCAAATAATATATAAACTCTACAAAATCCTTGCATCCTTTTTGGGGATTATGAATACATGAGATATTGTATAAATACTTGCTTGTGTGGTTACAATGAAGAAAAAGGAAAGGAGTTCTTCCTTTTTGTCATATTTTTAGTCCCAGCATTTCAGAGCAATTTATAAGATTCTACTGCACAGCTAATGCTATCTAGTGCATGCATATATTTTTAATGAACTCATACACAAAACAATGCATTATCAGGACAATACTGTACCAATATATTTTCCATTTGTGAGATGGCATCCAAAGATTATCTTTATCTGAACATATTTTGCACTTTCTGGCCCCCATGCCTTTGTTTTTAAGTTATACTTCACCTGGAGAGATTTCTACATTTCCCATTTGCCTGAAAAATTCCTATTAATTTTTAAGCCCCATTTCCTCACCTAAAAAAAAAAAAAACAAACCTTGCCCACTTTACGTCATTGTGACTGCTCCTCTTTCTGAACACATGCTATGGGAGCCAAATGGCACAGTGGAAAGAACTCAGAGAAATCTCTGCTCCATCACAGATGGCAATGCTGGGGCAACTCTTTACCAATACGGGACTTCCTCTTCTTATCCATGAGAGAGAGATTAAAATAATTTGAAGTAATATTAAGAATTATTGTTCTATGTGTGGTGATGGATGCTAACTAGACTGATTGCAGTGGTCATTTTGCAATATATACATCTTTCAAATCATTATGTTGCACACCTGAAAGTAATTTAAAGTTATGTATCAATTATATCTTGATTACAAATAATAAATAAAAAAGAATTATTGCTAACTGGGTGTGTTAATGTTATTGTGGTCATGTATTTTAAGTAATATTTATCTTTTAGAGATGCTACTAAAATTTATAGATGAAATAATTTTATGTGGAATTTGCTTGAAAATAGTATGGAGAAGGCAGGGAGGGGGTGGCAAAGTGATACAGATAAGGCATTAATTGATAATTTTTGAACTTGCATTATGGGGTTCATAATACTATCCTGCCTGCATTTTAATATGTGTGAAATTTTCCATAATAAAAAGATTTTTTAAATGTTCTAAAGTTCTTTCCAGTTCTAAATCTCCATAATTCTATGTTCAATATGAATGTTATGTTCAATTAGCAATCAACTACATACTCCCTTGTGATACTTCTTGTCATTTTACTATTTTTTGCTAGTATTTCATATGAGTATGCCCTATTTCTTTGACTACACTAAGACATTTCTTAGACAATGGCCTAGCTTTGGTATATTTGAATTTCCTTTATTATATCTAGAAAATCAGTAAACCGACAACTGATTAATGAGAGACCTGAAGGGCCAGATTCAAATATGATTTGAAATGAATTAAGGACAAAAGGTAAGACTTTTTCTGAAAAACAACCTGAGACATTTAGAGATTAATATTAACACACACCACTTGCAACTTACTACAAATGTTAAATTAAACCTTCTCTGGAAATACATAGAGCTAATGGCTATTTTATATTATGTTCAAGAGAGATAGGTTTTATTCAAAAAATTTTTTGACTGCTTAGAGCATTTTAGAAATAAATTATGGAATTGTTCACTATATTGTGTTGGGAAAAAAATCCAAGAGTACTAATAAGCTTATTCCTCTGGAAGATGAAGAATTTAAATCAGTCTATCACTGATATTTATGTACAAACTTTGCACACAAAATATTTAGCCTGCAGCATCTACCACTGCCCCAGACAGATTCAGATCAGAAGGCCCAGTTCCTCCCCATGAATTTTAATAGAATGTACTCGCAGCTGAGGATTGGCCAGCATTTCTAAGTGGTGATGAATGAGAAGACAGATGGGCCCTTGGAGTAACAGAAGGCCAAGTCTTCAAAGGTGGCCGCAGCCTACCTTCTCTGACAACATCAGCATACTCACTCTCGATCTATAACTAGGCAAGCCACATCATTTTCTTCAGCAATAATGTTAGCTGATCTGACATCCTCACTGCAGACAGAAACAGGGAAGTCAATTTTCCACAGTTAGAAATTAAACATCCATTTTTATTAGAGAATCTACTTTTTTATGAAACACCATCACTTAAACCTTCCAAAGACTGCTTTTTTTTTTTTTAAACATCATAACGTATACTCTATCCCTTTCCAAAAAAGGATTGGAAATGCATCCCAATAAAGGTTACGTATGCAAGAATTCAGACAAGATAACTGCACTGGGAACAGAGAGGAATCAGTGACTGTGACTGTCTATGGAATCTCCTTCTGGGCTTTGTGTCAGCCAAAATAAAATACCTCTCCTGTGATCAAGTGGGAATTGCTAATCATAAGCAGCCAAAACTGAAATTAATGGATCAAAAAAATTTACTGGGAAAACATTCAAGTAATTAACATAGAATAAAAAAAATCAAGAATAAAGCCCAAAGAAAGTGTTTTGAATACCATATCACCCAATGATTTAAATAAACACGAAAGTAATTTCATAAAGCCTAAGATGTACATTTTCCACTAAAATCTCTGAAATCAGAGCATGTCCTACAATTGATGATGAATCACAGTGTAATTAATAGCACTGTCTTTCTCAAGGGTACATAATATAATTGGCGCATCTCACAATTGATATCCTAGATACAATGAATTATGACATATGATCTAATGACGGTAAACTTAATGACCTAAAGGATACCAATATGCCAAGCACTGGGTAAAGTATTTCTTTAGAGACCTTTATTTGTATTAGTTTCCTCCTCTATAAGTTACAAACAAAAGACACTGAAAAATGGTACACCCAGATGGTACCCAGTGTTGTGAGATTCATTCAAGGTAACTGGGAGGAACAAGGAGATTGAGACTGCTCTAAGCAACTTCATCAAAAATGGCATCACACAAAGTATATATAGTTCCTTCTTCTTCCCTTAGTGATGGAGTAGGAAAAACTTGGTGACCCATTTCTCATTCCAAAGAAGTCCCTTATCCACATAGCTAACATCCAGGGTCCTTCTGATATAACCCATAGTTTCTCCCAAATTTACAGGGTCCTTGCTAGAAGACATTAGTGAAAACATTCCAGCTTCATGAGCTTTTGAGCTGAGAGCTGGGTAGCCTGTACTCAACTTGTATGTGTGTAGACATCTATATCTATATGTAGAGATAGATACACATATACACATACATATGCATATGCATATGATCTTCGATATGAGCCAATTTGATTTGTGAGGTTCAGAAAAACAAAGGTATGGCATCCCTTTCACTTGTCAGTGTCAAGACTGACTAGGAATATTCTCTGCAAACACTTTATAAATATTAGGGTTTATAAATACACATATGTTTCTTTCATAATAACTGTGTAAGTGCCATGGATAAATTTTTACCCATAAAATGTTGCAAGAATTCTTGGGACTAATTGTCAAGTCCCAGAAATACACAGACTATAAGGAATATTGAGTCACCATCAGTGGCCCTAAAAAGTGATAGCAAAAAATGCACAAAAATGTAAAAATATTTGTATCCAATGCTCCTTTTCCTTGATTTTAGCTTTATGCTTCCAAATGCCTGGGGAGTTGGGTATCTATATTAAATATAAATTCCCATGTTTCTCATGGGAAAACACTGTAATTGGCTGGCTGCAACATATAGCATAAATTATTTCAGGTCCAGTAAAATCAGACAGTGTATTTCTTTCAAGAGCTTTTTGACTCTTATGGTGCATTTATAAAGTTCTCTGCACTTTCAAACTTTAGTTGTTTTTTTTTTTTTGAAGGTATGAGAAAAATAATCTAGTAATGTTAAGAACAAGTACATTGAAGTTCTGAATAACAATATTACATAATTATATTACATGAACCTATTCATATTGTCACAACCAAAAAAATTAAAAAGGACAATTTCCCTGTTGTTGAAACAAGTTAATTACGAGCTAGAAAATGGGAAAAAACATTTTAGCTTGTCTTTAAATTCCATTTTTAAATTGTTTACAAAATAACCATAATCTAATTTACTAAGTTTAAACAGTTTTTCCTTTAAAAATAAGAGCTTCATAATTTTTAAACAATCAAATTTGTCTCCCAGTAATTTATGAACACCTTTTCTTTGCTCTATACTTAATATTATCATCACATACAAATCAGCAAAACTGGCACATCATGACAAAAATTTAAAAGGAAGAAAATGAACAGAAATAATACTCGTTTTTTTAAATGTTGGTGTTTTTCCTAGTTTTAGAAATCTTGGTATTAAAGAGTGTAATCACACCACATAAATTTTCTTTAGATGATGTGCGGAAGAAACTGATTGAGAATGCAGGAGTAACTGTAGGGAGAAACATTTTCATCACTGATATGCTTTAGAACTACCCAAATGAATTACATTGAGGGTAGTCAAATAAAATAGATCACCCCACCACACTCACTGCATAGAAAGTGGTTAAGTTTGACATAAGACATGTTGGATGTTTTGAAAACAAATATTGTACTGAATTTAGTCTCTCAGGAAAAAATAAATTACTTTGTTGAAAAAAAAAGAAATAATACTCGTTTCTATAAGTACAAATTTAAATAAAAACCATTTAGTAATAACATAAAGTTTAAGTGATGTCTCAACTAATTTCAAGTAGTCCTTTAAAAACATACGTAACTCCAAAAAAAGTATTGCTCAAAACTCTACACTTGATCTTAGTCAAAAGGCCAAGAAGCAATTCAAAACTCTAATTTGATCTTTTATAAGTTATTTATTTTTTTTAAGATTTTTATTTATTTATTTGACAAAGAGAGACACAGCAAGAGAGGAACACAAGCAGAGGGAGTGGGGGAGGGAGAAGCAGGCTTCCCGCAGAGCGGGGAGCCCGATGTGGGGCTGGATCTCAGGACCCTGGGATCACAACCTGAGCCGAAGGCAGATGCCCAATGAGTGAGCCACTCAGTTGCCCCTAAAGTCATTTATATTTAAGAAAATGTTTTTTTTTTTTTTTACTTGAGGTTGTTTTCTGAGTCCCAGGAAGTACACAGTGTCTCCTGATAACATTTTTTGATCTTTATAAATATTTCTTCCATAAGTTAGATCAAGAGTAGATAAACTCATCCATCAAAAGACGTAAGGTTCAGGTAGAAGTTTCACACACACTATTTTGAGTTGTTTCTGAAACTTGCAAAATGAGCTGATAAAAATTCTTAAGAAAATATTGCTTTTGGCATAATGATTTTAAAGCACACAAAATATGTAGTCATTATTTGATAATTTTTTACAAAGGGGAAAATGGCAATATTTCAAACCTTGGAAATATAAAAAACTTATTCTTAAAGGAAAATTATAATTCTCATGTCTTTAGTCTCTTTTTTTTATTATGTTATGTTAATCACCATACATTACATCATTAGTTTTTGATGTAGTGTTTTTAGTCTCTTTCTTTGACACTCTTTGCAACTAAAGATTCTAATAGAACACCAATTTTATTTTCACTAGCAAATTTAAGCTTTCCCCATTTCTTTTCTGTTCAAAATTAGTCCCCTTATTTCATGCATAACAATGAAATTTTTAGGGGTGCCTGGGTGGCTTAGTTGGTTAAGCATCTGCCCTCGGCTCAGGTCATGATCCCAGGGTCTTGGGATCGAGTCCCGCCATTGGGCTCCCTGCTCAGTGGGGAGCCTGCTTCTCCCTCTCCCTCTGCCTGCCTCGCTGCTTACTTGTGCTCTCTCTCTCTCTGTCAAATAAATAAAATCTTAAAAAAAAAATAAAGGAGAACAAAACTTTCTTTTAAAAAAATGAAATTTTTAGTATCCAGCTTAAAATTTTTGTTTAATTTCTGAATATTAGCAGATATTAATTTGGCAGCTCAATTTGACATCTCTAAAGAAGTAGTTGCACATGCAAAGCATTCAAAGAATTATTTAAGTATGGTACAGAAATTCACAGATTTACCTGATAAGAGCTTTTTCTCCAAAGTATTCTCCTTTCTGCAGTGTTTTTATCAGTTGTGGTTGATCATGGCCCTCTGTGCTCTGGGTGACTTTTACCTAAACGATGTTAAACAATTAAAAAGAGAGGGGAAAAAAAGAAAAAAATGAGAATCTGAACACATATCCATTCAATCAGACCCTTTGGATCTATAAAAATTTGACTGAAATAAGGAAATAGACAAGCCTTTGCTTTAACTTTGTAGTAGTTAGGACAATCTTGCTACAGTCAACTCATTTGGAGGGACCGAGAAATCCTGTGATTTAACACAACCAAATGACTCCCCATCTGTAAGAGAAAGATTCTCCATTCAAATCCTACCTCTCAAAGTTAAAATTTTTTATGTGAACCCAGCGATTCCTTCCTAGAGATATTCAAGGCAAATAATATGGTCCTGTAGGAACTTCTATTATTTCAAAATCCAAAGAGAGTTGACAAATTAATCAAGAATAAGGCTAAGTGTCAGGAGTTTTGAATCTGGTGTCCATGATTGACTTGTTGAATCCCTTTACCCTCTAAAACTGGATGCAAAATGTGGATCTGGAGAAGGGTCATAACTTTCATGGGTGTCTCAGTGTGACCCATGGCCCAGGAGAGTTTAAGAATTCCCACGGCAGAACCGAACAAAAACGTCAAATATTCCTGTTTGTGGCTAGAATTACGCCAATTCAACAAGATAATGAGGGTTGTTTTGTGTTGGTTAGACATTTTGATTAGCATTTACCAAAGTTGCAATGAATTAAAATTTTAAAAAACAATAAATGTAATTTGTTTATTAGTCGGAATGCTTTCAAAGCATGGGGCAGGTTGGGGAGAAATGATAAAAAGTGTTTCTGAGTGTTGAAGAGTTTCTGAGGTTTGAAACTATTTTGTTAATCTTGTTTTCCTTCACTGGGTGCCCAGGTCAAAGTTCAACCACAAGTCAATTTACAAAGGGTAGTGCCTGACTCTCTGATGACAAACTTTTCCATGGAAGAAACAACATCTGTAAAATCCAGGCAGGTTATAGATGTAGGTGCTCAAGTTTCACTCTGTCATTCAGTATTTCACTAATGCCTTTTATCTCTGAGGAACATTGTAGAGAGTCAACATAGGAACAACTGGTAACATGTTATCCACTCAGTATCTAAGTAAAGAAAAAGATCTACTGTATATATACTGGCATAATATTTTCCTCAGCATCTAAACCAACTTGTGCTATGATATATGAATTGAAGTTTGGAGCCATATCGTTCTATAGCTTCATCGCTGGCCACTGTTGTCCTCAAATGCCGAGTTCATTCTCCCCACACTTGTCACATTCATTGGATGGAAAAACTTTCCAGCCTGATCTTGGACCCTTGGGCTGATTGAGAATCTCAGATAAAAGAGATCTTAGAAACAATCTAGTTATTTTATGCACAATGAAGAGAGGTCCAAAGAAAGTCAAGCGACATGCCTAGGATCACTAAGAAGCTACTGTCTCAGCTAGTACCCATCACAGGTCTCTTGCACCCCCAAACTTGGTGTTCAGACCAAACCTCATAGGACTCTTCTGAACAGAAGCTCCTTCACCTGTTCAATGCAGAGATTTTCCATAGCATTAGTTCCCAAACTAATGGGAACTGACCTTTTGATTTACTTTAAGTAAGCTGTAATTAATATTTACCTTTCCTTTTGCTAAGATGAAGAAAGTACTTCCTTCCTCACCCTCTCTAATAATGTAATCTCCTTTGTCATAGTATTCCTATTGGGATGAGAGAGAAAGAAAAGGTTAAATCCAGTGGAGACATATAGATGAAAGCATAAATGAAATTGAACTCTTCGTGTCTCTGAAATGAGCATTCCATGCCTCTTTCTTTTATTTGTTGCTTACTGTCACTGTAATCTTCTTGAACATTGCAGTCATAAGCTGTAGAAAAAGTACGGAGACTTGTTTTATTACGTGCATTTACGTTTATCTTTCCCAGAGAAAATTCACCTGAAAGACTCACTTTCAGGCATGGCAACTAAAGAACATGAAGAGAAATGAGAGCAAAACAATAATCACTGATATACAGGGGAGCTTTCACCTAAATAATCTAAATACAAGCTGTTCAGTGATCTGTAACAGTCTGAAACTGGGTCTAGAGTTTAGAAAAAAGATTATCTAATACACTGAAAATATTAGCCCTAGTGGACAGTAGGAATATCAGCCTCAATTTCTAATTCCTTGAAGAGCAAATGCTGGGAAAATCCTACCTACATAGTAAGTAGCTCTTGCATATGGATTCTTTTAAAAAATTTATCATCATAAAAGATCAACATTAGAACTTTTCACATGTAAATTCCGTTCTTCCACGTATGTTTATCCTCATGAAATCTCAAATTGTCATTTATTTCTTTGTTTCCCTCATGTATGTGTCTGTAATCAGAGAATTCTTGGGAAGGGAAAAGTAATTCATCCATTTGTCAGACCAAAAGAGCAATTCAGTCTCTTAGAAAACAAAAGATGCATTAAACTGTCCACCTCTACTTCACTTTAACATTGTCTCAAAGTCAGAGAACTAAAATGGATCTCTTAATTATTTATACAAATAAAAATGGGCCTGTTTAATTTATTTAAAAAGGCATAATTAACAACATAATAGCTCTCTCTTATTTTTCTTTTAGATTTGAAAATAAAATCCAAACAAAACTACTTTTGTGTCTGCTATATTTCAATACCCTTTTTGGTCATTTATGCTTAAAACCTATTTACATTTTTGAAATAAATATGACTCCTAATACAAATAAACATACCCTTTATTTACAGAGCACTATGTACATTTTGTAAGACATTTCAACATCTCATGGAAAGGAGCGTAATATCTTAGGGGAGAAAGTCCTTTGAAGCCAAACAGATGTAGATTCAAATCCCAATTCTGCTTTGAATTTCACATCCATCAACCCATAAAGTTCAAATAAGAACATTTACCTTCAAAGATTTAGAGAAGCACATTAGTTTTCTATTGCTGCTGTAGCAAATAACCACACATTTCTTAGTGGCTTCCAACAACACCCATTTATTATCTCACAGTTTCTGTGTGTCAGAGTCCAGGGTCACCTGGATTTTTCTCAAGGGTCTCCCAAGACTGAACTCAAAGCATCAGTCAGGCAGGCTGTATTCCCTTCTGGAGGCTCTGGGGAAAAGCCACTTTCAAGCTTAATCAGGCTGTTGGCAGAATTCAGTTTCTAGGATAGGGTCTCATTTCCATGCTGGCTGTCAGCCCCTTAATTCCTAGAGACCTCTCCGAGGTCCTTGCACAGAGCCCCTGTGCTTCATAACCAACAACGGCTCATCAAATTCTGCTTAGACTTGAAAGCTCCCTGACTTCCACTTCTGCTGCATCTCTCTGACTCTAGCCAGAGAAAATTCTCTGCTTTTAAGGGCTCATGTAATTATATTCATCCCACCTAGATAATCCAGAATAGTCTCCTTATTTTAAGGTCCTGAACCTTAATTACATCTGCCCAGTCTCTTTGGCCATGTAACATAACATATTCACAACATTCCAGGGATGAGGACATTTTTGGGGGGTCCATTCTGCCTACCACAATAAGCCAATTAAAGACCATGTTTTGATGCATTAAAAGCACCTAAAACACAGTAAATACTCAATTAATGATTGCCATGTTGAGGAGGAAGATGATTATGTTTTGCTTAACTGTTACTTAAATTTTCTATGCCTAAGTTTACTTCTCTATTGAATTAAAATGGCATGACCTACCACACCTAATATTGAGATAGTGTATCTAAAGCAACTGGTAGCACATTTGATAAACACTGGGCACCTGGTGACCTGTGAAAGAGACTGTGAACTGGTCATCAAAGCCTTCCACATTATACATGGCTGTCCAGGTTGATTGCACTCCTCAGCCTCCCTGTTAGTTGTAGCATGTGATTAAATTCTAGCTAAAAGAACCTGAGCTGAAGTGATGGGTGCCTTCCCCGGGCAAGGTCCATGAGCTGTTTCAGGCATGTGTCTTCACAGAGAGATCTTGGGAGAGGGATCATCTAGACCTTAGCTTGAGTTCCTGAATGACTGCATGTAGCCACCTGGGACTACCTTCCCTGGACTGTTATGTAAGCAAGAGACAAATCTCTACTTTATTTGGAAAATGATATTTTTAGTTTCTTTTATCCCAGTTTGCTTACTCCAACTCTCTATTCTCTCCTGTTTTATCTTTATCACAAACATTCATCACACAGAAGCTTAATTTTACAGTTGAGATGACTATGAGCCTTGGTGTTTGAGTGACCCCACTACACAGTTCAGCATTTTCATTATGCAGCTACCGTTCAATTCTCTTTCACTGGGACTGCTGGTGTCCTGTTAGATGTCCCTGTTACAGTCTGTTCTATAGTCTCTCCTGTTCCCACCCCAATCTCAGTCCCCACCACTACCTACATGGAACAGAAAGAACATGGAGAATTTCCGAAGTGCTGGTAGGCTGTTCTTCAGTTATTATAAAGCCTTTGGTGTGTGCAGATGTGTGGTTCTAATTCCTTTCAGTCAGAGAGGCTAAAGGGAAGCTTGAAAGGGAACACTGAAAAAGAGCTTTATTGTTTCTTAAGGGGCAAACTTCCTAGTGGTATTTTTCCTAGGAATGGTTCTTTGTCACCCAAAACCATGGGAGGAAGATAAATAATACCTCCCAGTGGGTTGACAGTAACTTCACAGATCAGAAAGGCTGTGGATGTAGGTCAGACCAAAAATATATAGTGGTAAATACAGGCTATGATGCTAGACTGGCCAGTGTTTGTCGACTGGGGAGTGAAGCCAGTCTAGCCAGGGTGGTCACCAAGACCAAAAAGAGAAATGCAAACAGTGTGGTTATTGTCCTGTGGTTACACGGCAAAGGGGTCCCTTATAGGACCAAGAAGCCATAGACCCTATTCTCTGGAGCAATGATTTTCAAGTACTTTTTACTCTTACAGTGAAAAATACATTTTACATGTACACCCAAACATACCTATTCAAGCATGCACACATATAAACATTTTATAAAATTGAAACATATTTAAGTAATACTTGTACTACTACTCTGATATTTTAAAAAAATGTTCCTCCAAATTAATTTCCTGATCTACTAATGAATTGTGATCCAGAGTCTGAAAAAGATATTTTAAAAGAAGATGTGTGGAAACCCTGAGAGTAGTTACTTGGTATATAGTAAAAGGGAAAACTAAGGGAATCGACCCCAGGGCAGACTAAGAGGTGGAGGTCAGAAGAAAACTATACAAACAGCAGTAGCTGAAGATACAAACAGCTGTAAAGAAAATGCTCATTCTGTGATATCTAGAAAATGCTAGAGCCTGAATGCCTATAAATAGTATATATAAAACCAGAAGAGAAGCCCAAGGTGATGGAGAACAAAGACCAAGAAGCAAGCCCATAGCTTCCTTAAAGTCTTTAGTGTGTGGCTAGAAATCTTCATTACAAAGAAGTATTGATGATACACAATCAGATGTGTGATACACACACACACGCACGCACACACACACACACACACTCTCCTGGAATCATGTGATTATGTACCTAAGTTGGTTGTTTAAAAAACTGTATACAGTTATTTGGGTTGTTACCAACAATTTTTTGCTTGACCAAGTATGGTAGTTAAACACCTTAGAAATTTTAAAGCAAATACATCTGGATCAGATGGACCCTCATCAACCATTCAGGCAAAATTTAGTATCTGATTGCTTATTTCCAAGGAACTAGAGCCTACAAAATGAAAACCAACAGAAATCCCTCTAACTTGGGTGAGCCAACTGTTTAGAATTCTGCAACTGAAACATTGAAAGAGCCTGTAGAGATCTGGCCGACACACCCTTATTTTGTAGATAAGAAAACCCTGATGCCTACCATAGTTAATTGACAGCTGCTAGTGACAGAGCTTGACCATAAACACTAATCTCCACACTTTGGACTAGTGAACTTTCTATGACACCCAGCTGCCCCACCTTTAGCTAACTGGTCCATAGGCAAAATCCACAATTATCTCAACTTTCTTATGACTTTGGATGTAATCATTAAAATGAGAAAACACTCTGGCTTATGCAGGTGTTAGCAGGAACTGTAAGAAAAAAAAACTAGATTTTTAAAAAATTATGAAAAATGGAAAACTCCTGAATAAAGAGACAGACTATGGCAAACTCTAAATATATGTATTCTATTCATAACTTTAAACTAGTGCTTCTCAAATTCTAATAAGCATAAGAATCGCATCAAGTGTTGAAGTGTGCATTTCTGGGCCGATACCCCAGAGTTTCTGATTCAGTAAGTGTGAGGTGGTACCTGGGCATCTGCCTTTCGAGCAGCACCACAGGTGATGTGGGTAAGGGCAACAACCTTCCACAGGACCCCACCGCTACCCCATTCCTACTATGCCTTCAGTTCCATGAAAGATGGCATGTCAGAGTCACAGGGCAGAGGGTCACTGGGTCACGTACCAAAGCTCTGTAACAAAGAGTGAGGTGACGTTTTGGTCAACCACCGTCAAATCCTGTGCTTCCTGTGTGTGGGAACAGAAACTCCTCCCACTTTTGTGCTCCATACTGCACAATTGCAGAATTCACATGATCATTTTCATTACCATTAACACTTACACTACATTCGGAATCTGTATCATGCTTCGTGATGTTCACTAGTTAACCCTTGAATGTGTTAGTACTGCTTTCCCAACAGAACACAAGAAAAGGCTTAAAGGGGATGTCTCTGCCTCTAGAACTGCATGTCCTGGGTGATCTAAGCTAAAGCAAGAAATGCTATCAGAATACTGAGCAATTGGAGCCATGGGTCTAGATGTTCAGGAGTCAGAGTCTTCACAAACACTCCAGATCAACGGCTTGGTGATGGGAAATTCCAGTATCCCCTCCCCGCCCCCACACAAAAATTAAAAGCCTCCCAAATCAATTCCTAAACAGCATGCCAGATTCAGCCTGTTTTTCTCAAAGATTATGGAGCCAGTTTGCGGGACGGCGCAGCTGGTCCTGGAACTCAGCGGGCGTTCTGTTATAACTCCAATGCATTAGTGATTGGCTGTTGTCAGGACCCTGTTGATGGGTCATTAGTCCAAGCTATGCTGGTAAATTATGTGCTTTTCTTAGCACTACATAGATCCCATTACTCCCTTGCTAATCACTTTTGCATTTGAGACTTTTCACGCGCTATAGAGATACATTTGTTTGCCAGGTTTGAATAAAGGGCCCTTCATAAACTGTGCTGCTGTCTGCAAATGCTGAGATATAATAAAGCCTTTCTAGGGTGTTTTAAAAGATGAGAACTTCCAAACTCAAATTGTGTGTTAATTAATACTGGATTTGCACCTCCATCTACATCATATTCTGTAGCTATTGCCTGTGGCTGCAATAAATATGTCTAATTTACCATTTATTTTTAATGATACTAAATTTTAATATTTGCTGTCAGCATGGAATTCCCCTCTGGTGAATCTACTCTATTAGTATTATATTAAAAACAGATTTCCTCAGTTAACAAAAAAAATATAGGGCTACCCCAGCTTTAAAACACACACACACACACTCTCAGAAATTAGGATGAATTATTAATTTGTAACATCTGTGATTGGGTTATGTTACGTTGGGAAAATCCCAAGAGATGCAGGGCAAGCAGTCCTCTTGAAAATGACTTCATATCTGAACGCTCTGGGAACACAAGGCCAGGCACTGTCATCATGGCCTGCCCTTGATAAACTGCTGGATAGGTTCCATGAATTGTAAATGGAAACATTACTGGTGTCACTTACACTTAAGGATAAAATGGTCAGTGCTCCTTCTCAAGAGATATTAGTTTACATTGTATATTGTGATTGACAGAGGCATGAATCTGTCAACAATCAGTCTTGGAGGGATTTTTATATCTCCCACTGAGAATAGCTTTGTAAAAGCTTAAAGTTGGCATGTGACTTCTTTACTATTCCTTACCTCCTTTAAATTCTGTAAAAGCCATTTTGGTTTCCCCCCCAACAAAAATCAGAGAGAAATTACTTGTGTTGAATTTTAATCTCTGAAATCTGAAGAGGTTTTCATATAATGCATATCATTAGAATCTAAGGTACACATTATAAAAGCTTTATTCACAAAAAGACTTGACTAGTTTTGGACTAGAACCAACCATGTAGGTGATGCCTCATATGAGTTTTTGAACACATTCCAATATGCTGTCTCCCCAAGTCCATGTGAGGTGGTCTAAGGTTTTTCACAACAGAAAAAGGCTCCTGGTCTCTGTAAACTGGCGACCTACCCTCTTTTCCTTGTTACTCATTTACAGTGCTAATAACAACCAGATTCTACAGCCTTTTAATGAAATGTATTTTTTCCTTTATAATTTCTTACCACTTCCAAGCAGTCAATGATCTTGGTTAGTTTATCTTCAGGTAAATTCTTCAGCAAGGATACACTTCAAAATTAAAAAGAAACCTTTAGTTATTGTCCTGAATTAAACTATAAATATGCACCTATATGTAGTTCAAAAAAACTTTACCTTCATCTAAAAAAATATAATGCACTTAATTTTTCCAAAGTAAACCTCCAAAATATGTAACACATAAACAACTGAATTTCAGATGCATTGAAATTATAAAACCACATGTAATCACAGATATTTATCATAGGCAAATACATAAAGATAGTAAGATGCCATAAAGAGAAAAAAATAAAATTTTTTCTGTTTGGGGGAAAAAAAAACCACTTTATATTTGTTGTTGGTTTTCAGAGTGAATCACATCCAGAAATGTGTTTCCCTCCACATCTCAGTATCTCTTTTTTTAGCATGAGTGAGGAGCTCTGCTTCCAGAGGAGGATCAGATTTTCATCTAAATCCTTGTAATTAAGTAAAGGCTGAATCCAGGGGGGAATGTAGGAATTAGTATGGAAATTATCTTTGATTATTAGTCATACTGCACTGTCTTTTAAAATTAATGGTAGCCAGGGGCATGTAATTGGAACATTTTTACAGATAATGATATGCAAAGAATGAAATAGAATACTGGAAATTATTATTTGGAAAAAAAATCAGGGGTGCCTGGGTGGCTCAGTCAGTTAAGTATCTGGCTTCAGCTCAGGTCATGATCCCAGGGTGCTGGGATTGAGCCCCAGGTCTTCATCCATCCCCATCTATCCAGCTCCCTGCTCAGCGGGGAGTCGGCTTCTCCCTCTCCCTCTGCCCTTCCCCCCCGGCTCATGGTCACACTCTCAAATAAATAAAATCTTTAAAAAATATCACTATGGACTCTGAGAAACAAACTGAGGGTTTTGGAGGGGAGAGGGGTGGGGGGTGGGTTAGCCCGGTGATGGGTATTGAGGAGGGCACGTACTGCATGGAGCACTGGGTGTTGTACAAGAACAATGAGTCGTGGATCAGTACATCAAAAACTAATGATGTATTGTATGGTGACTAACATAACATAATAAAATAAAATTTAAAAAAATAATAATAAAAATCAGAAATTCCACTCAGTGTGATTAACCAAATGATTAAATTATTCTTTTAGAGAAATTTCTCTTCTACCTTACCCATTTTTACTCAGGACTGTTGAGATAAATACTTCTTTCGTTCCATCTAAAATTTGACACCTCTAAGGAAAAAAATGATGCTACTCCAAAAATACATGATTGGATCTAATTTTTGAAAAGATAGCTAGCTCTACACTGACTCTTGCATGTGCACACAGGGAGGCATGTAGCCAGGAGACGTAGATGAGAATGTTCATAACCCAATCATTTGTAATTGTGAAACACTAGAGCACGCCCCAATTGGAGAACAGCTAAACACACTGTAGTAGAGTCAGATAACCAAACTCTACAACAGGAGAAATGGCTGAACTAACCAGATGGATGAAATAGTAAAAAATACTGCGTAAAAAATTAAGTCACAAAAGTAACACCGTTTGCTTTATTTTTAAGTTCAAAAATAGGTTAAATCAAACTATAGTATAGAAGCTGTATAAGCTTCAGTATATAGACCACTCCCAAGAAGAGGCATGTGGGAGGCTGGGAAATGAATGGGGAGCATGTGAGAACAACAATCAAAGTTGTTAATGTTCCAATTGTTAGGTTGGGCAGTAAGTAGCTTGATGACACTCATTTTGTTATTATGTTTTATAACTTACATATGTACTATATACCTTTTATACATATATTACATACTTCATAATAAAAAGATGTAAATGGAAAAAGAGCTTATTGTATATTATGAAACAAAAAGAAATGTCTTTCTCTAATCTACCTTCCTATGAATGAAAAGGTAAAAGGTAACCAAAACTTGTCATTGATTAACATACGCTCATTGTGAAAGTTCTGCTTCTGGTCCAAACTGGGATCTATAATGTTGGTGAAAATTCTTTCCTGTAAACCTGTCACCCTTGGGGATTGGTGAGGAAATTGATATGAGGAAAAATCTTTAGTCTGTTTCCCTTCCATAAAGAAAGAGATAAGGTTTTTCTGGGTTGCCACTGAACCCATGATGTTTAGGGCCTAGCAATAAGAATTTGTTAAATGAATGCATGAATGAGATAACAAAAGGAAGAGAAAAGGAAAGAAGGTTTATGTACTAGTAAATTCTCTGAGCTCCTTCTACTAAGACAGAACACTCTAGACTCCAAGGGAATGAAATGCAGTATCTAGTGGCTCAAGTTTTATCTCATGCATTCAGATGCAATTCACAAGCACTGGTTGATTTATTTATCCCCTCTTGGTCCTTGCATGAGTGTAGTTCATTCGCTTTTAGTGCTGGTCTGTGTTGCTCAGTTGTTGGATTTTTAGACTACCTAGACCAGGACAGGCCCCACAACACGTTAGCTGAGGTGCTGGTTTGCATTTCAGTAAGGCACTTGCTTATCGCTACTGTCGCTTTTTGCCAGGAGTCAGCGTTATCTCTGGGAGGGCAAATCAGCAAGAATCTATAGGAAAACCCTTAACACCTACAATGTTCTATTGATTAACAATGTGTTTATTTACTATTTATTGAGTCCTTACTATATACTAGGCACTGTACAGCTCGAAAATCATTGACTTCACAGGCTAGTTATGCAAGATAAACTCACTATATCTAAAAAGAGCTTACAATTATCATTATTGTTATTATTATCACTTACCATAGGTAACATTTCATTACAGTATGTTTTATGGCTTTAGAGACTGTCAAATCTCTCACAAAGAAACACAGAAACAGTTTAAATAAAGAACTTACATTCTCCAAAAAATATCTTTTTATATTCATAACTGGATTTTTCAGTGAGATAGATATTTGTTTCTCTATGAAGTGATGCATCCAAATTTTGGGCAGGGGTACAAAATAGCTCACAAAATTTGTTCCAAGGATCCGTGTCATAATGACAAGCATAGTAACATTTCTGGCAAGTTAATTTGCTACAAATTATAATAATTTAGAAGATGGGGTGGTTATACAAATGAGACAAAATGTCTCAGGTAAAGCAATTACAGATAGTAAAATAAATTAATTTTAATATTATTCTAACCAAGGCATTATTAGGAAGATTATCTTTTGCTATCCACTTCCAAATTATAGGATGTCTTTCAAAGTCAACTGAGCAACCCAGGTGAATATTTTAGGATTTTTTTGCACATTCTTCTACACTGCATACAATGACTCTGTCAATACAAGGGCAAAATCAGTGAAAGGAATAAATCAGTGTGCAAGGCTAACTGGAATTAAATGTAATTTTTTTACATAGTGGCATTTACCGCAAGGGAATACTTTTGTTCCTGTGGTTTAGTCATGTGGAAAATGCTTAAATGAGAAAAGCTATAGTAAAATAATTATTGTGATAAAACCAACATATCCACAATTTGGCTACACCATCTTCTACTCTTTCCACCAATGTGTTATTCTTACCTTCTGAGGAAGTTTCTGTACTGTTCATCTCTAGCTTGAGCTGTCCTTCTCATTATATTCTGGAATACCTCTCGATCTAGTGCCCAAGTTTTAACATTGGTAATAGCTTTAGAAAAATCAAGAAAATAATAAAATATTGTTTAGCCCCACATTAAGAAAACATTCCAAAATATTAATCAATAAATTTTTCATATATTCTCATAAAATGATATTTCTTGGAAAATGCATTATTTAACATGCAAATGGAAGGAAGTAGTGACATAAATAGTGGGTAATTTTATAAAATCATCTTTGGCTTTGAAATGAACCATGATTTGGAAGTGAGTAGCAAAAGATTTCCTCTCTAATTATGTTTTGCTTAGGATGATATCAAAATTAGTTTGCAATTCCTAATTACATACTACATCATCAGGATGTATTTCAGATTTGTGCTGTGATACAAGAGAAAACCAGCAGCTTGTAGCTAGATCGGAGAGTAAAGAAATCACAAGTCGATAATTGGAAGTTAAAGATCTCTCAGTGTATGAGTATGTTTTTATGTCTTTTTATGTTGTTCAGACATTGTAGCTAATGAGAGCTAATATATTTTAAGGATCTCTATGGTTACTTTTGTATAAAGTGCATACAAATCATTTTCATGGAGATTATGCAAGACAGCTTTTGAGGCAATTTTTTTTATAGGAAAGACATGGAAAGCAAGAATAAAATCTAAAAAGGAAGAAGAGCAGAAGTTGCAGCTCTAAAAGATCTAGATGAAATTATAATTGTAATTTTTTTAAAAAAAAGAAGTAATGAGAGTCTATAAAATAAATCAAACTCCAAAGCTTTGGTTTACCAAACTTTAGAGTGAATCAGATTTATCTTGACATACTTGTTAAAAATACAGATGCCTAGGCTCCATTGCCAAAGATTCTGATTTAGGTTTGGAGTGAAGCCCCAGAATCTGCATTTTTATCAAATCCTGCACAATTCTGAGATGCTTCAGCCAGTCCTAAACACTGAGAAACACATGTAATTAATTTCTGCCCAAGATTACCATGAATAAAGTCAATAAAAACAGGAACCCTTAAACTAATCCCAAAAGTCACTCAGGAAAACTCTCGTCAATTAATTCACATCCCTTTTGATATTTATATACTCTCCTTGGTTTCATTAATTTTTCTGGTTTATAATATGATCAGAACATCATGGAGAATGAAAAGCAAACATTCTGGATGAGCCAAAGGCAGATGTTTACACAGTAAAAAAAAAAAAAAAAAGTGAAGTGGCAATTAAAGCAAATATTGCAATAATTCAACAATATGAAGCCATTTTCATATTTTATATGCAGGTACCTGATAGAAATGTTCTCTTAATTTGAATTGTTTAGACAAGGACTTTCAATATAAATCCTGTAAGCACAGCATTTCTATCACACATGGGGCACACTGGGAGACAAAAGTACTCAGCAGGCAATAGTGACTCAGATTGTCATAAACATTGGGTAATAATTCAAAAATACAACATTTCATCCCCTGTTACCTTTCACGGAGGCAGTTCTTGTACAGTTGTATAAAATGGCTAGCTCCCCAAACGTGGTCCACATAGGGATGGATGATAGAAATTTCTCCCCTTGGAACACCTCTAGTCGGCCCTCTATCAGTCAGAGTTAAAGAAAAACACAAACAATCAAAACCCATCTGGATTCCATAAATTAAAAAATAAGACAATCAGAAAGTACACAAAGCATACCGGCAAGATGTCTTATGATTCTCATTATAATATTGTGGTCGAGAGTGTAGACTGAAAGCAACTTGGCCATATCAGCTGATCACCTTGAAAGAAAGAGTTACCTACTCTGCCTGAGGTTTTTTGTCAGTAATGGGACTACTACTAATAATATTTACTTCATAGAGTTGTTGTGAGAATTAAATATGTTAATATAGGTAGGGAACTTAGAATAATGGCTAACACATAGTAAATGCTATATTAGTGTTAGCTATTGTTAATATTATTATCATTATTACAAAGTTCTTTCCCTGAAGCGGTGGATGGCAAGTGTTATATTTAAAATTCATTCTACCCCATGAAAATGTAGCACACAAAACTATTTCTCTTGTGCAAGGAACACAACAATCCCTGTATGTCTTGAAAACACAGCAGAGCTGTTCATACTAACAGAAGGACTAACTTGTCCTAACTGAGAAATGCACTGGCCCTGGAGTCTGACTGCCTGGATCTGACCAATCACTGGCTGTGTAACCTTGGGTAAGTAATTCACCACACCACCACTGTGGTCTAACACCTCAATCACTGAAATGAATTAATAAATGGAAGTTGCTAAGAAAAGTGCTTGAGAAAAAAAATATCAAGAGAATTAGAAGACAAGCCACAGATTGGGAGAAAATATTTTTGCAAAAGACACATCTGATAAAAGAATGTTTTCCAAAATATACAAAGAACTCTTAGAACTCAACAAAAAGAAAACAAACAATCTGATTTAAAAATGGGCCAAAGAGCTTAACAGACACTCACCAAGAAAGATATACAGATGGCAAATCAACATATGAAATGATGCTCCACATCATATGTCATCAGAGAAATTCAAATCAGAACAACAATAAAATGCCACCACATGCCTAGTAGAATGACAAAAATCTGGAACACTGATAACACCAAATGTTAGTGAAGATGTGGAGCGAAAGGAACTCTCCTACATTGCTGATGGAAACACAAAATGGGACAGTTACTTTGGAAGATGGTGTGGCAATTTCTTACAAAATTAAATGCAGCAATTGCCCTCTTTAGTATTTACCCAAAGGAGTTCAAAACTCAGATCCATACAAAAACCTGAACACGGATGTTTATAGCAGTTTTAATTATAACTGCCAACACTTAGAAATGACCAAGATGTCCTTCAGTGGATGAACGATAAACTGTGGTACCTCCAGACAATGGGATATTATTCAGTGCTTATAATGAAATGAGCTATCAAGCCATGAAAAGACAAGGAGGAACCTTAAGTGCATACCACTAAGTGAAAGAAGTCAGTTTGAAAGGGCTGACATACTCTATGATTCCAGCAATATGACATTCTGGAAAAGGGAAAATGATGGAGAAAATAAAAAAATTAGTGGTTGCCAGGGACGGGGTTGGGGGAGATGAACAAGTAGAGCACAGAGAATTTTTAGGGCAGTGAAAAACACTCTGCATGGTATTATAACGATGGATACATGTCATTATACATTTGCCTAAACCCATAGAAGGTGCAACATCAAGAGTGAACCCTATGGTAAATTATGGACTTTGATGCTTTATCAATATAGGTTCACCCTTGGTTAAAAAAAAAAAAAAAGTACCATTCTGGTGAGTGATGTTGATAACAGTGGAAGCTATGCATATGTGGGGACAGGAGAGTATGGAAAATCTCTGTATCTCCCTCTCAATTTTGTTGCAAACCTAAAACTGCTCTAAAAAAAGTTACGTCTTATAAAAATGAGAAAGAGTGCCTGACACTACTCTTTATCTAGGCAAGAGCTGGGGGAAGGGAGAGAAGCAGACTCCTCACAATTCTTTCGGCCTGGCGATTCTCTTCTCCTTTCCCTTCGAACAAGGGCAAATAGAACCTTACCTAGCAAACAGTCATATGCTAAAAAGACCTACATTCTTGAGGAAGAAAAATGGTGGGGTTATTCTCTTTCCCTTGAAGAATTATTTCCTTCTCCTATTCACTGCTAAGCAGCTCTCTCCAGCCATCCATTCACCAAATCGGATTTGAATACCTGTGTTATACTAGGAACTGGTCCAGCAGCCAGAGAGACAGCATGGACAAAACACAAAAGATACTTATTCTGATGGAACTTAAATTGTAGTAAGAAATAAACTCTGTTTTGGCTCCAAATCCTACAGATATAATATGAAATTTAATAATTTCTCATTACAACTAAATTCTATTCCATTGAAACCATTTAGCGGTACTGCTGAGTTGATCTCATGGATCGTCATGCATTTCAAGTTTTTTTGACTCATGGTACTTGAGCAATACTGAAGAATTATATGGAATATCAGAAGTTTAAGCTAAATATGCTTTTATTATGGGCTATTCATGCCGTATATTATAGAGGGGAGATTTTTAATTAATTTGCTCAATCAGTTACATCAGGCAAGTCAGTCCTTAGATAACACCGTAATTAATTCAATTAAGAAACTGTCCAATTTTCATTGCCATGTGTGCTCTAGCCCTGATTTCTATGACTGTTATTGAGACTGGTTTCTGTTCTAACTCTTCTCTGCCCTAGCCTTTCATCAGAGTCACTGGCAAGGAACATGATGGGCTGACATGAGTTTCTCATCCTTTCCTAGCAGATTCCATAAAAATTTGTTGGGTTAATGATGTATCTTTTCTTGTCATAATTTCTGGTGTTGCTAAAGCAGAAGTGAAATGGCCAAGAGAAAAGCTGAAAGAGGGGGAAATTGCTCTGGATTGTCTGTCCCTAAAAACTGGAAGGCTGGCTAAATTCAGACTATAATTCACTTCCTGGGTAGAATAATTACTTGAGAACGACTGTATAATTTTAAGGGTGTCTACAAAGATGTTTATGGCATATAAACACCAATATTTATGAAACTAGCGTGTCTGAAGAATCAAAGTATATGAAAACAATCTTTCATACGGTTATAAATAGAATAATACATGTTTATTGATTTGCTTGGATAGGCAACTTCTGCCCCACACCTAAGGCCCTAGGGAAACAAGGATCATAAAAGCATTCTTAGATTGCCAGGAATTAGCAGTAGAAAATAAAAGGCCACAGCAAATCTGAATTTACCACTCCATCTGGGCAAGCCACTTTAACTTTCTTCCTATAACTCAAAAAAGTGGGGGATTCAGAATTTGACAAGATGTTCAATAAGCATATGTCCTGTTCAGATCACTTCTTGCTTCTGTATCTAAAATAATTTTTTGAGTACCACTATAAGGCATGCACTTGATATGCTTTAAGAACTCATTTGCCTATCTAATTTTTAAAATCTATCCAGCATATAAATATGTTCCTTATAAGCATCTATGTAGAAAACCATTTAAATGGTTCTAAAAACACCAGTGTTAATCTTAAGGCATTCCATTTGATTCCTATGTGCTTACATGTACCTAAATTATCTTTTGAAGTCATTCGTATATAACCAAGTATTTTTCACAGAACCTGGTACAACAACCTAAAAATGTCAACAGAAGCAGCGATATTTTGAATAGAAACACCTTTTTGCAGTTGTTGAGTAAGTGGCACTGTGATTAAAAGTACTGACTCAAGTCAGATTGCCTACATTTGCATTCTACCTCCACCACTCAGGAGCTTTGTGGTCTTTCTTAGGTTACTTAACCTCTCTGTGACAGAGTCCACGTTAGGAATATGGAGGAAATAGCACTTGCCTAACAGAGTTGGTGAGACGATGAAATGAGATCTCTCCATTAAGTGCATAAAAAGCATTCAGTAAATATTATCACCAGTATGATTAGATCAACAATGTTACTATTTCATGAACTCAAATTCTGTTACGTTTTGTATAAACAGAGCAATTGGTTTTGCATTTTTATAAATGTTTGCAAAAAATAAGACAATAGGCAAAATATTTGTTACATGATAACTGGAAAAATCTGTGAAACCCACCTGCTAGTACAAAGATATGGTTTCCTGGTTCTCCTTGCTTAATAATGTAACTCCCTTGCTGGTAGTTCCTCCCATACATGCATTCCACCATGTCTTTGATCTGCTGAGGATCCAGTCTCTTTAGAAACTGATTTTTATTAAGGGCCTCTGTAATGAGCTTCTTCTCACTGGCGTAATGGAAAAGAGATGTTAAGTTACATGAACGAAAGCCATGTTTTGCCATTTAGATTTACTTCATTTAGATTCCTGATATTACCACCTATGTACTTACAATTTTCCCGGGAGAGACAAATTTTTTTCCAGCCCCACCAGCACTGACCCTTATAATTACCATACTTCACATGTAAAACCTTTGAAAATATTTTTGAATAATTTTCTGTAATTGGTATTACATCAATTTTATTATCACTCCTAGCTGTCATCATCACAAGTGTAGCATCTCTCAAGATCTCTAGGTTAACATAAATAATATTAATATTAGTAATAATAAAGGATACATGATTTTTTTAGATAGAAAGAAAATCTGGTTGGTTGGTAGAAGGTGTATTTAAGAGACTACCACACAGTACTCATTTATTCATGTATACTTGCATGCATAATGCCTATAGAAGTTATTTTATACTTTATTTAGTCTTCACCACTATCCTCTGAGATAATTACTATTCCTACTTTCTGGACAAACAGACTAAAAAGTAAGAAGCAACTTAATCCCCCTAGGATTTAAATCTAAGTCTGTGAGTCTGAAGACTGTATATCTATTGCCTCTTCTGAGCTAACGAAGTCAGCTCCGTTGGGACTCGCTAGATTTGATCAGAAACAGAGGGTGATGGTGGTAGACTGGGTTCACCTAGGTTTTGACCCTCAGTATGTCTAGACTAGACAGAACATGTATTTCCAATCTCATAACCTAAATCCAAGGCCCTCTTGTTGATAGTCCTCAAACATTCTGTTTTCTTTTGGAAAAGAAGTAGCTCAAAATAATTACCCAATCTTCATTACCATAAATTTCAAAAGTTTTAATTAACATACTTTATATGTAGCTATCATAGAATTATTGAGCTGGCAGAAAAGTGGCCTTGTGGGCTAAGTCAGAATCTCTGCACAACATGTTTGCTTTCAGTCAAATTCAGTGTGATTTCTAAAAATAGGGTTTTTTCTCTGTATCTTTCATTCAAACTCTTTCCCATCACTACCTTTACTGTTTCAAAACTTGTGATATTTTTCTACACAGAAAGTTCTCAAATGTAAAGTAAAATTTCATGGGTTGGATACTTCCTTCATGACCCTATCCATCAGATCATTAGGCTATGTGAAGAAAACAGAATGAAGAAATTCCTCCTGCCCTACAGTGACTCCATCATCCTCAGAGCCAGACAAACTCTTTGAGTACCTTGAGAACTTACTTCCTCCTGCAACTATCACCAAATCTTGTCATTTCTCTTTACAAAAAAATCACTGTTACTCATTTCAGTTTCTATTTTCAAGGATGTCATCACAGTCCAAGAAAAAAACTTAGGTCTGGACAACATTAATAGCTTCTTTTCAGCATTTCAGCTTCTAGCCTCTTTCCCCTGTAGTCTACTTTATATTTTATTATCAGATTATTCTTGCTAAAAAACTGACTTCATCCTGATCTCATTTTCCACTCATCTGCTAAAGCCAATAATTCATTCAGTTAATATATACCGAGAAGATACTTTGGTTACATGTTCTTCTCAGAGCAAGCAGTAGAACTGTGAACAATGCCAAAAATCCCCAGCTTTCATGGGCCTTTCATGCTCTCCTAACATTCCAGCCAGTGTTTCATCAATGCCCACATAGACTAATTTCCCAAAATATGTTCCAAGAAATGCTCTTCCTTTATAAGCAAAAGTGTGCTGAGTTTGAACAATTTTGGAAATTCACAATGCATACTTTCAGAGTTCAAAGAAATCTTCCAGTAAACAAATCTCTTAAACCAATGTTTCCAAACCTCAATGTCTTTTTTATTTATTTCTTCTTTTGGCTTAACTTCCATGAACATTCCATGGAAGTAGTCTGAAAACCCTTTTGCCCATAGAGGAAAAGCAACATCCCACAATCTGGTATTCACCATTTCCCACCACATGACTCCACTCCATCCATCCAGTACCTACTTGCTAAAATAAATCCTTTGCTTCAGATAGGCTGGTATCCTCATTGTCTCCTATGCCTGCCAGCTTTATCTTTAGGCTTAGTCCTTGTTTTCTCCTCTAACTTAATTTCTTCTTCCCTCAATGGGCTCAAACCTTATAATTCTCCCTTTATGATCTAGTCAACCCTGCCCAGGCGCTGTAGCTTACACATTCCTTTTAAGCCTATTCTAAACTCCTAGATTATTGTATTCACATCTAGTCAATTCAACAAATTTTATCAAACATTTACTTAGGACATAAAAATTAACTAAGCATGGTCCACGGTCTCAAAGAGTTCCCAAATCTTTTCAACTTAATTGAGTGTATAACCCTATTATAATATTCTACTATTGGAAAAGAGTTCTTTCTATGACTTTTTCTCCAAACTAGATATAAGTTCTTGAAGGACTGGGTCTTCTCTTGAATTGTCTAAGAGGTAGTGCACAACAGTGACTAGAGTATGAACTTTGCCACTCCTTCTACAACTATGATAGACCAGCTATTACCAAAACAACTCTCCCTGCTCACACAACTTCAAAAGCTAATTAAAGTATATATTTACAGATCTGTTTGAAAGCACTGGAGACCTATCAACATAACCACAGCTTGAAAAGCCATGATCAACAAGAGAATATGAGCTTGACATTCACCTCTGCTTTTCCCTTCAAGGCATTTGCTGATTTGTACCCAGCACTGAGCAGAGTTTTGGCAGTCTCAAAGGACTAGAAAGACCAAAGTTAATATTCAAGGCACACCGTGAAGGAAGAATCCTGGTAAAAACCCTGGATTTCAGATGGGACAGCTGTAGGGCTGCAACCTATGAATAAGCACCAGCCCAAAAAAGGCTAGCTCTGGAAAAGACTGAACATTAACTTCAAAATGACAAATTCCTATTTTGGTTAAAATTATTTGCTCCTAGCCTGACTGCCTGCCACAAGCAAAGGTAAGTGTTTTCTCTAGGATATTCACAAAATCTAGAGACTCAAATTTTCTCTAGAGGTTTTCCCTAAAGAGTATCTGGTATGACAACAGACATACCAAGAGAAAAGACCAAATGAGTGAAGACCAAGAGAAAAAAAATAATAGAAACAGACCTAATAGATCAATATACTGTAGATATCAGACACAGACTTTCATATAACCTTATCCCAAAAAAATCATATCTAGGACCATCACAGTCAAATTACTGAAAACCAAATAGAAAGGGAAAAATCTACAATGCAGCTGGAGAAGAGACACATTACTTCAAATGACCAACAATATGACTGACTTACTCCTCAACTGAAATAAAAGAAGCCAGAAGACAATGGGATATCTCCAAAAAGCTTTAAAATGCCTATTTCCACTATCTTTACCCAGTGAAAATAGCCTTCAAAAATAAAAGCAAAAGGAATACATTTCAAAATGTCACTCCATTGGCAATAGACTCATAATAGTGGAGAGCTCCAGATAAACAGAAAATGATCCCATATGGAAACTAATAGATGCTAGAAGGAAGAAAGAGCAATGGAAAAAGTAAATATGTGGATGACTAAAGGAAGCTTATCTTTATAAAAGAGTATAGCAATACCTTGTGGATTTTAAAGTGTATGATAAATAAAATGTTTGAGAACAACAGTCAAGTTGTAGGGGCGGGAGGATGGCAGTAAACATAAAGCACTAATCTATATCAGAAATTTAATAAATTAAGGAAGCATGTTATAATTTAGGGTAACCCTTATAAGATGAGCTAAAGAATGTTTAACTAGAAAGCTAATGGAAAAGAAAATGGAATAATAATACGCATTTAATTAATCCTGGAAAATGTCAAGAAAGTAGAGAAAAAGAAACCAAAGAAGTGTAACAAATAAGAAACAAATAGTAATATGTTAATATGAAAATATTTGTATTTACATTAAAGATAAATAACTAAATACTGCAATTAAAAAAAAAGACTGTCAGATTGAAAAATAAAATAAAAAGGATATATGAAATGTGTGTTACTTATAAGAAGCATTCCTTAAAGATAAGGATATAGAAAGGTTGTAAGTAAGAAGGTAGAAAGATATTTATACTATATAAACACCAATTATAAAGAAAATGTTTCTTGATAGAGGAAAGTAGACTTTAATGAAAAACACATTTCTAGAAATAGAGATATTTCATATTGATATGATCAGAAAATATAAGTATTCTAAATGTATATGCAATTAATTAGATAGCATCAAAATATGAAAATAAAATTGACAACAATAAAAGAATAAACTAATTCACAATTGTTTTGGGAGATTTTAATACATCCCTTTAAGTAACTAACAGAACAAGCAGACAAAAATTAGTTAGAACATATTTTTAAACAACTGACTATCAAACTTAATTCCTTGACCTCACTGATATTTTGAAAGATTGCATTTGGGGCACCTGGGTGGCTCAGTTGGTTAAGTGTCCCACTCTTGCTTTTGGCTCAGGTCATGATCTCCGGACTGGAAGACTGACCCTGGTATCAGGCTCTGCACTGGGCATGGAGCCTGCTTTGGATTCTCTTTCTCCCTCTCCCTTTGCCCCTTCCCACCTCCCTCTCTAAAAATAAAATAAAGTAAAATAAAATAAATGATTGCATTCAACAAATTCAGAATACACATTCTTCTCAAGTACACAAAAACCTTCATGAATATCAATGATATGGTGAGCCATAAAGCATGTCTCAACAATACAGAGTATGTTCTTTGAACAGTAGAATTAAGCTAGAAATCAATAACAAAAAATAATAAAAAAATTCTCAAATGTTTGAGAATTGAACAACACATTTTTTTGAGCAATATATATATATTTTATTTTATTTTATTTTTATTTTTAGAGAGAAAGTGTGCATGCATGAGCTGGGGTGTTGGGGGGGGCAGAGGGAGAGGGAGAGAGAGAATCTCAAGTAGGCTCCACACTCAGCATGGAGCCCAATGCAGGGCTTGATCTCACGACCCTGAGATCATGACCTGAGCCGAAATCAAGAGCTGGACACTTAACCAACTCAGCCACCC